AAATCATTAGACACTGATCCTTTTGGAGATTCAAATTTATATACGATCAAGAGAGTTCAAGTTCTAGAGCTTATTTTGAAATTTATTCAGACCAGTCACAAACACAGAGCCTTTCAAGACCTCAATAGTTTTCCACAGAATGAGGTAAAACCAGATAACCTTGCTTCAGCGTTGCCATGAAGACCACGACAGTTTCAAAATCAAAAGTTCGTGCGAGCGCGGAGAATGCTACTTGAAATTACATCACTCGCTTCCTAGGAAGTGGCTGCGATACGAATAAATGCAGCAAGTAAACAGAAGTAAAAATCTGAAACTCCAATTATATTGAATTCTTCTGCATTAATTGTTTATGTTTTCATTCAATAAAGACACGTATTGCTAGCCTACCTAGGCCTATTGTTAGTCTTAGAAGAAAGAACGATATTATAACACACTCAGGACTATATTCAAAAAGAATATCTGCACGGTAGTCTTCAAAATTGCCTGATGAAAATCAAGATGTTTATTTTTGCAAGATAGTTCAAAGTTACGTTATTGATCTATATCCATAACATTGGGGTTTTTGTTCATGTAAACAGTTTTGAAGGGTTAAAAATTAAAAATAACTATATCTAAGGGGCGAAGCTAGGACTTGTAAGTCATCTCCTTAACCCCTAAAACATAATTTAAACAAATTAATTTATAACATAAAATAAATCTTAAAAGTAACAGATTAGAAAAATGATGAAATTAATATTGCTAAGCCAAAACGTGTAGGCTTACTTATCCTTACACTAGCTAAAATGTATTGTGTTGTATCTTAGCAGTTAGTATATAGGACTTCGATGCGAGAGAGTTCGTTTCTGTGATATCTAAAAACATTTAAATGGTTTGGATGATTTTTCCTTAAAAGCCTTTGAGATGCCAATAGCGTAGACACTGAAAAAGAAAAAAAGATACTTATGTAGGCCTACTTATACTTATAAAGCCATGAATTAACAAAATAGATATATTTTCCTACAGGTTTGGGAACCATTAGGAAATATTTTCGAAATAAAACATTTAGGTACCGTATTTTATTATCAATCCGTTAGGTTTGCTTCTTGAAACCATCTCTATTATTTTTTAAACATAAGAACGAAACATCTGTGCTGAATCATAATTGGTTTTATAACAGGTTAAAATTTGCGTTATAGTAATTCAGTTTCATGATAAATTCACAAAATTACTACTGAATCTTCTATGATTGACCTAATTTAATCGCAAACCTATTATTTGCAGACAATAGCAAAAGAAACAAACAATCAAGTAAATCATTAAACAAATCGACAAGCTAGAAGCTGGGGCGAGGAACCAGTTTTCCATCAACAACCAAAACACAGATGACCTTGACTCTTAAATCTTAATCCTCTGTCCTTCAATCTGAACTTCCGATGGTCCAGATACCAGATTAGAATAACTTTGACGTTATATTTCCTACCTCAATCTATCCAGAGTATCCATTTTTACAAAAAGGGTTTTATGGTTTTTATACTTTATTTCAACAAGTGACTTAGAGTGTCATCTTCAACTTTATTTTCATTTTTAGAGCTTTGAGTTGGGACCTCTGTTTGTTGTTAGTTGATTTTTTAACTATTAGACTCTAACCTGGGCTTTTTCACATTGCTTCAGATTAGGTCTAGATGTTGCGGTGCTATGACTTAGATAACATTTATTGGTGATTGGCGGGATTTGAACCTGAGACCTCGGGAACCGAAGTCTTGCGTTCTACCTTTAGACCAGCTGCTCTGAGTGTTAAATATGCACACACAAAAGAGTAGTGCAAATAAAAAAAAAATAAAAACATGTAAATGTGTTTTTGTAAACGGGTGTGTTTCTATAATATCAGATTTGGCGGCCTCCTGATTTTGATTGATTGTAATTTGGAAACGTTAATATTTATCTCATGTTTGATGAGCTTAACCACCATTGTTTTAAGGTGTATTTTTATTATAAATTTACTTACATTCTTGAATATTCGTTTAACAACAAAGTGTTCGATCTTGCAAGCTTAGAACATTTTCTTACAATGGTTAAACCATGTTACCATTGTCCTTCGTTAACACTTAGCCCAAGGTCAACCACTTCAAATCAGCAAGTTGCGTATTTACGTAAAAGACAAAGTCAAAAGTCCTTGAGAAAGTATTAGCTTTTTGTTTAGGGTTTTTATACTAAACTAAATCCTGCAGTTCAAATATCTGTTTTGGCAATATTCCCTAGTGATTTAAATTGCTTCCTTTGAACATCATAGATATGTAATAATTGACACATTTTGTAATTTTGTCGGTTTATTTTTCTCGTGTCTTGTTTTTTCTTTTTGTTTTCTATAGCTTTTTTCCCTTGAAATTGGTTTCATCCTACACTCACCTCCATTCATGGCTTAAATACTTACACTTGTATGGTCGCCATTTCAATAAAAGAATTAAAGTATTTACCACAAAAGCCAGAATGATAAGCAGGGGAGAAATATTCACTAGGTATTTTGGCGGTCAATAATAAATCAATAATTAATTGCCCAATAGTTACCAATGATCGTGTCGGCTTGTCTATTTATTTACTACAATTAATTGCTATTGATATAGTTTGTATATAAACACTCTGCTTAATATTTTTTACGGTAAACCTGTCGGTTGAAAAATACCGTATTATGCATTAAACAATTTAGTTGCGAATTATTATATTAGTTTAACATTTTATCAATGGTTTAATTTAATCCTTTATTGAGTACTTTAAATCCATTTAACCAACCTAACACTTATTTACTGTTTTACCACTTATACTCATGTTTTATGGTAGCGTAATCAAGGGAAGAAAGTATAAAAATATATTCTGAAGGTCATCATGTTTTTCTTCCGGGCTGCATCTTTGGAATGTATGAAATGTTATAATGCAATTGAAAATGCGTTGCTAACCTGTTATGGTAATACTGTATACTAACAGTAGGCGACGTTGCATAAGGAAAGAATGTTGATTGTATTTGAATGATACAAGAATTACACAAATAACTTAATCATCTAACGTAATCTGTAGATGGACGATAATTTTCTTCTACAAGTTTAACGTTTTGTTTTAAAAGTCAGGGCTGTAAAACAAGAATAATATAAGTTTTCAGAGACTAAAATTTTGTCCTCTTATATTATTTTTCTCTTATATTATTGTGATGTTATTTTATACAATACCAATTATCACTGAGTTTTTTATTACCTTCACCTACGACCGTTTTTTTAACTAGCCTTTTCAGTTTCATCTCTTAAAAGATTCTCTTAACATTATTGTTTACTTACTCTACAGCATTGTTATGTTTACGGTACAAGTATGGACCAATGAGGTTCAAGGATTGAGAGAAAATAAGTAAAATTGTAATGAGTCAAACGTCAACTGTTGCTGCTTATCAGCTGTTACAAATTATCAGAATGTTAACTTATCAGCTGTTAAGGTCAATTTAATTGATTATTCCATGAGTGAGTGGTTGGGACAATGAGTCGTTGCATCAAAATCAGTGGCAATAAGAGGTTAAACACGAAAACATAACCTCTCTTTAAGTTATGAGAAGTGATTGTTAGAAATATAAGACACTTGTAGAAGTTTTTAAGGCACTCGCCATGGCTCGTACCTTTAATGTTCTACTCATGTCTTAAATATATGAGATATCTTTAGCTATCTTTGCTTTAACTTCTATTTTCATATTGTTTTCACAGTTTTTTAACCGTGTTTAAACAGTGAAAAGTTATTGATACACTGTTTCCATCTATATAAATAAAATTAGAGTTTTGTCTGTACATTGCTCAGAATCATAAACTTTTAGGTTATTTTTACGTTTTATACATCAGAGAAACCGAAACAAGTCTCATCTAAATTTCTGTCTGTCTTCATGTCTGTTACGACCCAAGAGCCATTTTACGCGGCCTACTCCTGAAAAACGAGAGTACCTAGCAAGTTCCAAATCATTTTAATGTATTCACTGGATTGGCGAAATTGTCTTTAGCCATTAAAATATGGCGTCACCACTTTGTAAATAAAACAACGGACGTTTAAAAACCCAATTTTGTGCGATTTTTGTAAAGTTTTCTCCCAATGTTTAGCACATATTCTTCTATGAAATAACGAACAGCTGTTCAAATCAAGATTATTTCTTGTAGCTGTCACTGATATGTTTACATTGAATGTTGTTTACAAATACCACAACCATTTCCGATCACGTTTTGAAAGCAAATCCAAACCAATTAAGATTAAAACCTTTTTCCTTACATAACGGATTTAATTAATCGCAAGTGCAATAATATGTAGGGTAAATGAAAATAGATATTCTTAGTGTATAAAATTGTTCTTGAGTTTTGATAACCGGGAAATAGACCTTGAATCAGTGTTGTATATTGCTGGGATACTTACATTTTTTAAATGAGCGTTTTCAGTCGAGACTCGGCACACGACCGACGCGCGTCTACTTGTCTATAGTACAAATAAAAGTAGGCCTACTGTGTATTTATGTTTTATTCGTCATGTGTATAAGTGTACAGTTCGTGTATGTGTTTCAAAAACTCCAAGACGCACCTAATGGGGAAGCTCAAGACCTTTAGGACTGATGATGGCGATTTAATTTCGCCGAAATGCATCTCCTGTAATAGGATACATTAGGATCGACCAGCGGACACAGGTAATTTAGCCTTTTATTGATTGTCATACCGATCCGGAACAACAACAAACGACATGAAATGAAGTTATGTATGATAAATAGTTTGGCCAGCATATCTGAAAATATGCAAACCAACTGCTGTTCTTATTATCTGTTCTTATTATCCAATAAGAAGGTTTCAACTGATTACTATAAGATCCCCGTGCGTAGAACGGGTACACAGCTAGTATTAACTAAATCTTTCAGTTGGAACTGGTGAAAATGTTGCTCATGTAAACAGAACTTGTTCTAATTAATATTCATTTGTAGTTGATGTTGCAGATTTTTATATCTGGAAAATATGTTGCAGATTGAAATACGAAGCTGCAAAATGGACATGATGACGGAAAACGTCACTTTCAACGAAACTTTTCCTCATTTGAAGGCACTCATCTATGAAGGTAACTATTTCAATAAGCTATTATAATTCTACTATTTTAATTATTCTAATATGTATTAACTACCTACTAGCTAAGAGTTTGAAAGTAATTCATCTTTATTCTCACCAGTAAAAATGTTTTAAGTTTTAAGAGTACCATGGTAAAACAAAAGTTCCTATAGGAGGTGAAAGATCGTGTTTGAAGTTTTCACGAACGCTATCCCACTTGTATTTTCAAATATAAACTCTGTAAACGGTTTTGTGTTTTGGGCGACCCCCACATTATTATTAAAACAAATGAGTACAAATTATTGTTAAAACCATTGTTACTTTCCGAATTGTAGAAATTCGTGACAAAAATCACAACGTTCACTTTCCTTTTACAACTTTTTCTATCTCTAGATCTTTTTATTTTGCTGGCTTAAGTAAGAATATATTTTAAAAATTAATAAATAAAGTACATATTTTAAACTAACTTTTGCCCTAATGTGTTGTAAGTTAACTATAGAGTCAGTAATATACAATAAATGGAAAACTACTATAAAACTGTCCAGATTATTTACTGTATTATGAATACAATGACACAATATTTACTTTTCTGTGTTTAAAGATAACTTTTTTAGCGAGTTGACGTTTTTCTAAGAGACTATTGCAACAGTAAAAACCAAAGTTTTCGTGACGTTTTGAGATTTGGGATGTCGTCCTCAGATGAGACAACATAACAAGAATAGTTCACAAACTCAGCAGAAGCTGGAAAAACAATTCAAAACCACACAAACACAGACCAAGAAGTCAATGTTTAAAGGCGATTTCTTTTAAAGCAAATTTCCCATATTATTATTCTTTTTGACTACACTGTAGTGTTCTGTATATACACACATTAGTAAACACGCCCTCATTACTTAAAACACAGCGAAAATAGTACATAAACCAAACAGAAATAGGGTAAAACACAATTAATAACCACAATTATTAATTCATCTTATGCAGTTTATGTACAATTATTTCCAGCTTTGTCTGGTTGCCTTTTAAATCTCTCATCTGAGTACGGGATCAGATTTGAGATTGCAGGTCCCGAAACGTTTTTAATCGTGATAGATAAAGATATACACAATTTCAGCAAATACTCTCGGTCGATTACGTAATATTTCAAAATGCAGGATGTCAACACACCAGCTGTTATGACACGTCGTGATAAAACTGTCACTGACACACAACAATCAACAGACCGCGAAAACTCATTAAAAATGCTCAAATGGCTCAACTAAACCACACTAAATCCCAGTCTGGGAAAAGTACGCTACATCGTGTCATTCGTGTCACAGAGTATCCTTGACGTAGCCTTGGCTGGTGCGAAGTCGTGGTACTTTACAGTGTAAAGCCATTTAGCCAACTTTGTAGTGTGAAAATATCTATTACATTGATATCACTGTTTGGCTTACATGTGTCTTGCAACATTTGGCTTTAAAACTCTGCACTTAGGCAGTTTCGAAGCTTTTAAAATCATTCTCCTCATTCTACAACACCCTTTTCACTTGCATTTGTTTTTAGGTTGTATTTCTTTATTTTATAATTTTGCATTTGATCAAGTGTACTCAAAGTACGTTGCAATCTCACTGAAGAGGTTATATGATTAATTTACACCCTTAACAAAATGAAGTCCCCCTGAATGTCAGGCAAAATACATAGTTCAGAGACACTTTCATTGCTAAAGATATACAGTAATAGTTACAGTACTCGTGTAACATGAGGTTTCTGTTTCCATTTTGAAAAAAGTCAGTTTTTTTTTATAGCTCAATTAGGCCCAGCTGTCCTTGATGTTTGGGCTTTCAATAAATAGTCCTGGATATATCATCGTAGTCAGTAACAAACCTACGGATAACCTCACCCTATTCTACACCAAATTGCTTTCATTTTTACAGTAAAATACACCTAGGTTATTATTTTGATTCGTCACCTCAAAATAATAATCATAAATAGTGAATGTATTGGATAGGTGAGCGTTTGTTGCACTTACCTAACAAATTGGAATCAGTTGGTTAGGAAATAAGGACATTTGGTAAGTTGCACACTTCTTTCGCTAATTTTCATCTTAATTAAACAACACGAGTACAAACACACCATGGTGTTGATGACGTAATTTACCTAACACATGTTAAACATTTCTTCATGCAGACAACAAGCTCACATTTTGTGGATATAATAATGCACTCGGTTACGTCATGGAAGTGCTTCAGGGCATGCTATTAGGAGGTGTTACGTACGCTACGATTTGAAGTAGTGAGTATTGTATTAGCCTATCTCTCTCCCCGGGCCAGCTATTAGTTATCTGAGTTTTTAAATAATCGTTGGGACGATTGTGTTTAAAAAGTGATGTTCAATTCCATTAAAACTCTATGTAAAGGGGGGTTTGACTGAATCGTGATTATCATTACATAACAATTTCGTAGTACAGTGCTAATGAATAGAGCCCGGGACTTCAAGCTTGACGTCGGCGTTCAAATCCCGCCAATTAACAAAGCATTTCTGCTATGTGACAATGCTTTAATCCTATGGTTCGGGGCCTTATATGTCTGGAAAATCAGAAAAATAAGTTTCTCAGGTAGGGAACTAAATATTGGGAGATTTAATTTCTATGAAAATATTTGTTTAAAGGGTGTCTACGAGACATAACAAATACTGTAGTATCATCAGAGTCGGTACTTTTAAAGATTGGAAGAATTTTTGACATGTTATAGACTGCAAAAAGGGAAATTAAATGCGAATTTGTGCAGTAATTTAATTCTTTGAGACTTTTTTCAGCACACTTTTTATACAGCTGAATGCGAATTTGGTGAGTGTGAAATGGAGTGAGATGATCTGTGTAGCTTTGTTTGTTATCGTAGGACCAACTTTTTTCTTGACCAGAACCATTTACTTAAAGCTCAATGATGAAGGACAACTGGGCCCAGTTTCGAACCATCAAACAGTTTCTTTACACAGGATCGAACCGGTGACCTTTTGACTACCAGGCGAGTGCACCACTCAGCTACAAGTTGAGTTACGGTATATGTTTCTACTTAGTTCACGTAATCGTTACTCTATGTATTATGCACTGTCTGATGTATACTTATCCTGTGTAGATGCTATGGTAGACTCTTGGATGCTGATGTCCAGCCCAGTGTCCATAGTCGGTCTTGTGGCCGCCTACCTCGGTTTCGTCCTCTACCTCGGCCCCAAAATGATGGAGACCAGGAAACCTTACGACCTCAAAATAGCCATGATGCCGTATAACCTCATTCAGGTCGTGTGGAACTTCTACCTAGTCGCTATGGTGAGTAAAATTTATTACATATGTGACTACTGACTATCACTATAGACAAAAAAATTAAATATAGACCGTCAGCGGTGCTGTGGTTACCGTAGGTTCTGGCGCACACTGCTGGGAGTGCCATGTAGTTACGGCGTTCGCGCTACGTAACTACACGGCGCTCCCAGTGGTGTGCGCCAGAACCTTTAGTAACCATGGTAACCGCAGCACAGCTGACAGTCAATATTTTATTATTTTTGTATATGCTATCACTGAGCTAGAGATACAACTGGTGGTAGCACTGGATGAGAGAATTGTGAGACGTTGGCCGCCATTAGAACTAGGGGATAAAGTACACCGTACTTTACTCCGAGCTTAAAATTATTCTGTTGGGCCAACTATCTTTAAACATAGGTATATTAGCCTACTCTAGAAAGGTTGGTTGTTATTGAACATTTCCCTCTGTGAAAACATTTCCTAAATTTCCCTCCATAGTATAGTTAAACTCTATGACAATTTTATACGTATTATGATGTCATAATGAGTAAAATGTGACACAGAAACGGCTATTGGAAATTTGTATTGATTTTGGATAGTTAATAAATTTTCCAAAATATTTACGATAGACATGCTAGGAATAAAGTTCAAATTCAGAGTTCCCAACTTCATTATATTCTAAATTTACATTATAAAATTTCTATATACAAATACTCAAGGCAACTACTACAAATAAGAACAAACCGTCTTCGATTTATATTTCAAAGAAAATGCGAAAAGTTAAACATTCTCTTGAAGAATCCTTATAGCGCAACTTTTTAAAATTAAAGTTGCAGTTCTTAAAAATTTAGTTTAGTGTGTGTAAGCCGTATCGTATCCCTCGACAATCGAAGGCCTCGTAGCCCAAGGTCAAACTGTAATTTATGTTTTTGGCAAGAATTAAATACGAATCTCTTCCCAATGAACTCTGTAAAATATTATGATGATAATTTGCATTCTGTCCATTCAATAATGAATTTATTTCCAAGATACTCATACAATATTTATGAGATTTGAGAGTTATTGTATATATATTTTTGATTTAAGCTTCAAAAATTTCCCTGTACTGTACCCCTAGCATTGTAATTGGACATTATAAACATATATTTTTGCTGTCTTTTATAAAAATATTTTTTGTTTCAGCTCTTTACAACTGACGGTGCTCTGTCCTACCTATTGAAACATTATTGTCAACCCCTGGATATGCGGCTTAACCCTCTTAGACTTGTGGTGAGTTAATTATGTTGTATTTTCAACAATTCGAACTCTAGCAACCCCTGTAAACAGTCTCTCCCCCTCCTCTAGAATCACGTAGTTTTTACCAAGCAGTTGAAACAAGGTCTTGAGGTTCAAACATTATGGTTTTGGTTAAGTTTAATTTTTTTATGAAATAATCACTTTAAAGTCGTAAATGAGGTAAAAATAAATAGATGCTGTGTGTTTGTCGTCCACATTACATTTATCAATAATCAATCAGCTGTTTTGTTTCTATTGTTGCATTGTTTGTTTGCATACATTTAAACACCGGAGAGTTGTACTTGTCTAGATAGCCGGGTGGATTTAGTCCTTGCCTTCAAGTCTGAAGTTTGCTGGTTAGATCCTAAGCAACGTCCATTATGGACCCAAATTTTCCATTTTTCATTGTTCTATTTAATTAATAGTGCTACCTAACAATTGATTTTCAAAACTAGAAGATGGTTTGGACATTTACTTTAAAATAAAAACTTATCCTTCACTCAGACCAATCAAAGATACAATTGCACTCAAAACGCGTGGACCTAGTATTGGAAAGTAACAGGTATTTCTTAGACGCTGCGACTTGTAGCAGTTACTCCTTTGATGAAGCAATCCAGTCAGGATTTCCATCCTCTGTGACCTTGACGTAAAAGTTCTAGAAGACAAGAACAACGACCTCCCGAACTGGAAACTGGAATCTCGGTCAATTTTCGCGCTCAATCAATGAAGCCTCATCTCATCATCATCAAGTTCAGCTCGATTAAGGACTTAAGAGTTTGTAATTGATGACAACTTCAAAAAGTATAATTATTGTTTTTATATAACTCTTAACTCTTCTAATAGTAATATAAATGATCTGATCAAGATGTTTAATGAGCTAAATAATAAAAAAAGTTTTGATCAAAATGTTTCGAGTATTATTGTTGACTAGTATCGTACTGTGCACATTAGAAAATATCGTTCATGGAAGTGCAAAAATAGCGTGGAGTAGCTGAAATTACTTTAAAACAAGTTGAAATAACTCTAGAACTTATCCCATGTGTTTTGTAAGTTTTAGCATTGACTATTGGGTACAGAAGAAGACATCCCATCTATATGGATCAGCTGTCGCCAATTTTTTACTAAAAACTATTGTAGTTGTGTGAGCCAGTCACAGATTGCTCTAGTGTCTAAAACTCTATTTTGTACCTTATTTTTTGTTACTGACATAGTTACTGGGTCATAACAGTTGCTATAACTCATAATAAGTCATTCCATCAGTTTGACTTGGTAAAAACCATCGTGTAATCGGCAGAAATCAGTAAAGGTTTTAGACGAATCACAACACTTTACATACTTACCAAAAATGTATGTACTTATTTGCATCCTGCTAAAATGTCTTTAGTGTTATTTATTTTTTAAACTTAAGTTAAAAGCACAGTTTAGCAATTCCACAATCTAGATTAAAGCACGTAAAACTGAGTAATGGTATAGACCTACTTAAAAAATATACATTTTCACTTCAAATGAACTATAATTTGAAGAGCTGTCAAATATTTTCCCTCGTAAGTTCTGACGTCTTAAAACAGTTCATACGACTTTAAACCTAGGCGCTCTAACGCTCTAATCTAATTAGCCTACGAAACTACTGTATCGTTAGCGTGCGCTAACGTTATATTTAGTCTAAAACTGCTTCATTTGGAAAGTTTTAGCACGATAAATGCCCTTAGTTTTGACTAAAATGACATTTTACATAATTGGTCTCATTTTCTGTTCAGGCCTATTTGATTTTGAAAATCCGATAGTACGGTATCTGAAACAAACTTTCCACAACGTTTGCTACGTCCACCCTAGCAATATTTTCACGTGTCCACATGTTAAAGACAATTGAAATGTAGATTTTTGCATGGTTAATTTGGTTTGATTAAAATAGTTTTTTTGAACCTTTGATTCCCCAATAGATAATACAACATTAGAAAAAAATCCAAATTGAACATTCCATACCACAAAACCTCCTTTTTAAAAAAACATGCTTTTTATAATGCCTTCATGCTATACAACTCACTGCATGACAATCTTAAGTCAGTTAGTGATATTAGGGATTTCAATCGTAAACTCAAACTATTTCTTTTAGAAAATAGTTTTTACAGCGTAAAAGATTATGTTAACTACAACTCATCATAAATATGTTATTTCTTTTAGGCATGATGTGTTTCTGTAAATGTGTAATAGTGTAGCTATGTCATTGTTTATTATGTATTTTATTTCAAAATTGTGACGCAAGCCATGCATGTATATATTATGTTAACTGGCAATAAAGGAATATTTGATTTGATTTGATTTTGATATTTATAGTCTTAGCTATTTGACTAAATCAATGACTTAAAATCGAGCTACTTATTAATTTCATTACAAATGAAATGAATCGGTTCTAGCATTCCAGGAAGTTATCATTTGAATTATTTAATAATTTTTTCAAAATAATTTTTATATCGACGGTAAAACAATAACAAAATTACAATTGTACAATTACAATTGTAACGATGCCTTTTATTAATATCGTAAAACTGTTTGTAATCTAATAAACCATAAACCTTGCAAATAACCATACACTTTGAATTGATAACAATAATTATAAACAATAATATAATTATCATAATAAATTATAATAACTATAAGAGTATATAACAGTTCCCATCTTAAATGATCCACAAATTAATTTCCCTATATAAATTGATAATTATCTCATGTACAGTTATTAGGAAGTAACCTTAATTAATTTTCAAATTTTCAATGACCAGAAAGAAAGTGCTCTACGAACCTCATCATAGAGTTATTCAGAAATTACCTATTTTCCGACCAACTAGTCACCCTTGACTATATTAAGGACTGGAGACGGAATAAAAAGTCCTGGTGGCAATAATGTTCAAATCATTGAGTTACGCCAATACTAGAAAATTACTAGGCTACTTCTAGATCAATTTCTGTATTAAAACGTCTATTCGAATCAAAATCAGCATTGCTAGAGAAATGCCGAGATTCTATTTGAGACGCAAAAGGAAGTTAACTGTTGTAGCTAGGAGCTGAGGGGGGCGTGGCCCGTACGTTCTAGAAGGTACTTAATAAACGATCGGTTTAGAAATTGTGAATAGTGACCCGCCTACGAAATCTCACAATCATCCTTACTACGCCACAACACAAGTGATGCTTATTGCTGAAATAATCGAAGGGTTTAAAAGTGTTTTTAAAATATCGTAGTACGGTTTTTGGGGATAAGATAAGTTGTAAAATGTTTTTTACTGCTGTGTAAATATTTTTACTGACGGTGAAATAGTTAAAATAATGTCAGAAATTACAGTGTATGAAACAAATAAAATATAAATTATGTTTATGTTCTTTCCTGGGTTATACTTACGAATATACAAACAGAAACTGTACCTAATGGATCTTAAACATAAGTAATGGTGTCACTGGCCCGAAAGTAAACATGATTTTACTAATGTTTAAATAGAGCTGTCAATACTGTTACTGTTCAATGAAATGGCGACCATACAAAGTAGGTATTTTAAGCCAAGTATGAATGGAGATGAGTGTGGGATGAGTGGCGCGATCTTGTAGTCTTGTTAGTGACTAAGGCCGTAATTCCTTAGACACAGCTGTTAATTAATAGCCCATACAGCTAATGGCAACTAAGGCACCTACAGTTTATAGTGGAATCCGAACCACATTTTCCCTTGGTATATACGAATTGGTCTAATTATCAGAATAGTACTGCGGATAGCCGTAGTACTCACTCGTGCGGACGTTAATCCACACCAGGGAGTATCGCATCCACAGTGTATTCCTATAAATATCCACAAGATGTCCAAACCAGCTTTTACTGCTATATATAGACATTTGGGCCAGTGACGTAATTTGATTATGTTTATGATCCATACCGCTATAACAATAACGTGTCTTTAATAATATTAATTGGATTAAATTTACAAATTTAATCCAAGTACAACATTAATTTACAAATTATGTTGTACTTCATCTAGAAATAGTATTTGTAAGAATGTACAAAGATTATAACAGAATCGACAACAAATTCTGGAAAAAATCTAAAGATACGAATTTCAAATAACATGATACACTTGTTTTAAAACACGACAAGAAAATAAAAATTAAAAGTGATAAATCATTTTAATTTCTCAAAATTACAGTAATACAGCTTACAGGGGGCACCGCAAAGCAAAAGACCGGTTTCACCCAGGCATCCCCTCTGAGTTATAGCTCATTAGGCACATCCAAGATCCCCCGGCCGTCAATAGGTATTAGACGCACCCAACACTTGGGCTTATATTGAGTCGGTGGAACTCATTTTCATAGCGAGAACCTAATTGTTTCTCGTCGAGTTAATGAAAACATACGTTTCCTACATTGTTTGACTTGTTAAATTCCAATTATTAATCATATTTTCTTAACCTTTGTAGGACTATTTAGAATGGTAGACGTTTATTTCATATTCTTTATTCTTAAACGCACCTAAATATTCAATCTACGCTACCGACACGTAGTTCTAACGAAATCCGCTAGGTCGCGTTGCTGAACAAAGTGCAGTTACAGAACAGTAGGAATAAGCGGGCAGTTTAAAATAACAAGTAGAGTGTTTAGCTCTTACGATAGATAAAGCAATTGACTTAAAACAGTATTACTATGTTTGAATCTAAACACACACTTTTATTTTGATATTAATAAATATAAGTAATGTTTTTTTTTATTTATCCGTTTTTCCAACTATTTTGACCAAATACAACCAAAACCTACTCAGTTAATGTATGATATATGATTTCAGACACAATTGTGTGCTAGGCCTAAGAAAATGTTAGCTTTATTCAAAAATAATTAATTCCACTGATGAATCTACTCTTAGAGATAAGTAAAAGTGTTACCGGTAACCTAAAAATTGAAAAATAGTTAGTAAAAACTTCAAATAAAGACCCAGAATACTCAAAGATGTGTTTTGCCGTAAATAAAGTTTCAAAGGCTGAATTAAGGGATTTGCGAGTCAAAAATTACATAGCCAATGGCAGTGTTATATATGATCCTGAGTCTAGATTTATACAATTAAGAGTGTGAAGAGGTTAGTTTTAAACTGAAACACAATAAAAATATGTATGGATAAAAATCATGTTGGTATAAAACTATTAATTTTTTAACTATAACCAACCTATAAAAACATATAGGTACCTTATTTTTTAATGTAAATCATCTCCATTTTCAATTTTGCAAAGTTTAATACCTCTAAACCCAATTATCCTTCAGTAGACGTCCCCACTTCATTCATAATTTAATTAACAATCATTTCCATCATACAGACGATCAATGTATTGAAAATATCTATCTACTTATATATAATTCAGTTTTAAAAATCTTTGTACAACTAAATCTAGAGTTCTACTGGACCGATTTTATTAAAAAATGGGTCGTTGGAAAGCTTAATTCGTGTAAGAATAATCTAAGAAATGCAGCACAGTGTTAATTCAGTTTTCTTTGGTATATAAAATCGTCCAGGCTCTCTCGCTTTTTTTCCATTGTAATACTTACGCAAATCCAAATTTTCAAATAGTAAATATTTCATTTCAACCAAGTCAGTAAATGTAGCAAACTGTTAAATTAGCAAACTTATTGACTGTTTACAATTAACATATGTTCTTCTTCTCACTTTTAATTTCTGACAACAGCTGGAGTTTCATAACAATGTTTGTTTCCCATGTTAAGCTCATAGATAAATACAAAACTTTAAAGGGCCCCAGGGGCTCACTCTCTAATTATTTCCCTAAAAAGAAAGTTTCCTGCACAGCTTCACGTTACGCTCTTTCCAATGACACCAAATACAGGCCAATCGGTTCAGTAGTTTCGGAGGAGTAATTGTCACAAAAAACCTGCTTGTGTATTAAATAAGTACCTATATATAGATTTCATTTATAAGTAAACTGGATGCATTTGAACATTTTATATTATGTTTTTGGGCTGTGCCAGGCTTAATATTTTGTAAAGTAAAAGCTTCATTACGATTTTGTGTAGCCTTAATTTCAAAAGTCTACAAACTGTGCAACCTTTTTGGTCACTAGCTGTTATACTGCCTCAATCATACCATAATGTCACAAGATTTGTTCTGCATTTGACCTTACATTTTCGTACACAATTACTTGCTAAACGCTCCACACCCACAGCTTGATCCAAGCTTGATGCATTATGGATGCAATTCAAATACGTAACAACCGTACCGCATACATTTGCGTGTGTATTTGTCTATGATTGTATTGTTTGTATTTCCGTTTACGTGGGTAACTTCGAAGGAAGGACCAGGGATTGTCCTTGAACCTAACTCCTTTTGAGGACTTTTCTGTTTTAAATTAGAAATATGGTGGTCATAGGTGGTTTTTGCTTATAAGTTTGTAAACTGTTACAAAACTTACGACCCACTCAAGAGCTCAACCGATGTCACATCAAAACAGTTTCCAATTTTACAATATGAAGAGATGTCGGCTGCAGTATCTAAAGTCAATGACTTTACTTACATTATTTAGTCATATGTAACAAATTTTCTTTTGTTTCAGCTATGCAACGCAATGTGGCACTACACGGTGTTGAAAATCATGGATCTTGCGGACACTGTGAGTATCAAATTGTTTTTAGCGAATTTCCCATAAAGGGAATAAGCTATTGCCGTGGTACTCATGGTAAGACCTGGACCCAGGACCGATTTCTTTTTTCGTTTTGAGGTCCCTAGAGGCCAAAAACACCATCCGTTCAAATTCATATATATATATATACTAGCTGACCCGGCGAACTTCGTATCGCCTAAGTTATAGGTTTCCCCTAAGACAGACCGATGGAAAGAAAGTACCGTTACGTTTAATTTTAAAGATGATCTCGTTCGCATCGCTCAATCACGTCCTGGTTGAAGTTCGTTCGCTACGCTCACTCACCTTTGGGTTGGAGCTCGTTCGCTACGCTCACTTGCCTTCAGGTTAGCTCGTTCGCTACGCTAACTCGCCTCCAGGTTGAAGTTCGTTCGCTACGCTCACTCACCTTTTGGTTGCAAATTAGCTGTTGTCATAAATGTAAAAGAAATAATAGTGCTGCACCCTGTTGGTAATACTTGTAACTTTAATGCTATTTAACATCATAGAACAGAACCAACTTGTTTAATTGAAACAGCTGTTAAGATTCATTAATTCCATTTCTCATAAGGTTAACATGGGAAACTCCAGAGCCACTGGGGCGGAGCCCTTTTAAGAATTTCGAAACGGGAAATAGTTTACGTCCGATTCGCATACCTAAAGAATTTACACACCAAATTTCATAACGATCGGTGAAGTCGTTCCGGAGGAGTTTGCAGACAAACACTGTGACACGAGAATTTTATATATTAGATTTATATATATATTAAATATTTAAGTGAATATATATATATGTGTCCGTTAGCACGATAACTTGAGCAAAAATGGTCCGATTTTGATGAAATTTGGTACAAACGTGTAAACCTATATTTATTCGAACGAGTTCGCGAACCAGCATGATCGGACTATGGGAACGGGGGTTTATGGGGGGTTTTATGGGGTAAAAATAGGGTTTTCCCATTTTTGACCCTAAAACACAAATTTTTACAATTTATTTCCAAACCATTTTGTAGAGCTTAAAAAACAAATAATTTAGTATATTGAAGCATTATTGTGCGCCTAATGGTTACGGAGAAAATTCCAAAAAATTGTAAATTTAAAATCCCCATGTTATTCTTATGGAGAATAAACCACTGTTGTAGATTACTTGTTTATGAACATATTTTGATCAAATTTGGAAAATACATTCATTTCTTACTAAACTATTACCATAAAAAAACCACCTTTTTACCCTCCCTGTTGCAGCAAACCTAAGTACTCGTTAAACTAATTCTATTTAAATAGGGAATAAATATGATATTTTTAAGGAGGCATTTTAATGTGAAATCCTATCAGGCTAATGGAAATTCGCTTAGTCTGCAGGTTTGCTGCGGCGGGGGTATTTATAAATAAATGTGTTCACTCAATTAAAATGCATACTAATATGATAATCTAAATAAAAATCCATGAAGTTCTTTTACAATGTTAACATTATTAATTGTTTGACTGGAGGAAATTGAACAAATTTTCTAAATAGAGTAAAATTTTAAATTTACGTTTTTCATGATTATACTTTTAGAATAAGACTATAGAGAATCATAGCACATGCACATGAGTAACAAGATTCAATCTCTCACTGATTTTAATGGCAGCAAAAATTACAACTTTTTTAGTCAAGGTTATAGATCCATGTAGATAATATTATATTCCAACCAACAGTACAGATTGTTAAATTCTAACGTTGTTTGATCTTTTCGGTTGTTTGCTTTCTATAATGTTCCCTTTATTTATGGTAATTTGTTACACCTTTTTCTACCAATGTGTACTGTTAAGAAGTGTCAATTTGCAAAACTATGCTTACAATCAGATAAAAACAGAAATTTTAAAACTTAAATATCAGAATCATAGCAAAAACAATAGTATCATTTCCGACTCCCAGCCCTTTCTCTTCACTGCACCCTTGACGTGTTGGGGTTTTAAACATTACGTCAAGTTACAACAGCTAAGAACTGGTCAGTTTCGTAGAAACACTTTTCATTTTTCAAAAAGGGACTGTTTGATGGAGCGATTTTTATGAAGACTTATTTTGATCACTCCAATGTAATTTTTTTAGTAACTAAACTATTAAAAATGAAAATTTGATGCCCTAAGTTAAGCACAGACCACTCTTGTACCCTCAACGTATCTCTATGATTAAATCTAGCCAATTACAAAACAGTGGCGGATCTAGAACAGCCACAAGGGGGGGGGCGAACCAGGGGGTCTGGGGGGTTTGGCGGTACCCCCCGAAAAATTAGTGTAAACTAAGTCTCCAAAATGGCGGTTTTATACCATTTCTTTGTCCAAAGTTAGTGTAACAAATTATTTTACGCAATTTGTATGCACTACTGTATTATATGCAGTAAAAAAATATATGTATATGTATGCCCGAGGGGGGGGCGGTCGCCCCCTTCGCCCCCCCTCTGGATCCGCCACTGATTACAAAAGGCTTTTGCAAACATTTTATGATGTCAGACACCATTGATCTGCCTCAAAGAGTAAGTTCCAGACTAATCTTCTGCGTCATAAAATGTGAATGTTGGACTTTATAAATCAATTCCCAAACTTTCCACACTCTGTAGTAGTCTTTGTTGTGTGCTTAACATTGTCATTTCTTCTCCTCCAGGTATTCTTTGTGCTGAGGAAAAAGCAGGATCATGTAACGTTCCTGCATGTTTACCACCACTCAGCGATGGCGCTGTTCTCCTGGGCAACTCTCAAATATCTCCGAGGTAACAGAAGAAATGTTCTTTATCATATAACAAAGATCTCAAGAAGTTTTACTGAACTCATTTATGACCAGACTCTTATGTTCTAGCATTGCAAATGCAATGCAGGAAGTAGATATGTTTATAGTGTTGAAGATTGGCCAAGGATTGGGTTTGGAAGTGGTTAGCATCTTAGACTTAAATTTCAGAGGCGCAATTTGGCAGGTTCTAAAACAAAAGGTTTTGACTATTTGACTGCTGAATTCCCCCCCCCCCCCCAAAAAAAAAAGTTGGCTTCAACTGCACCACAGTTGTGCCAAATTGATCTGAATTAATCTTTATTTTATTTTAAAATTTGTGAAAAGAGTTTAGAGATATTGTTAAATGTTGTGTTAAAATATAAGGTCTGAAAATAGAAAATTAATGAAAACTTTACTCATATCTTTTGATAGGTACTAGGCATGTGAGAAACTAATCTAATATATTTTCGTAGGAGAGCAAGCAGTTCTGCTAGGCTTCATGAATGCTTTGGTTCATGTTGTCATGTATACTTACTACTTCCTAGCTGCTCTCGGAGAGAGAGTACGCAGATACCTGTGGTGGAAACGCTATCTCACCACCATGCAGATCGTAAGTATAACGTCTGTTCAAATGTTTTCAGAATGTTGAAAAAATCACAGGCTGTTGAAAAATTGATTTCCTAAAAGCTTTAAAAGCTGAACTATGATTCACATAAAATAATTTCTTCTCTGGGAAATCCCTAACCTTGGTCAAATGAAAATTGAGTATAAAATGTTTAAATAAAGCAAGATATAAGCCAGAGTTCCAAAAAAAAAAAAAAAAAAGATTGTAGCTCTGAGACATTGTATGTTAGTTCATTTAGATCTTAATTGATTTTTTCAAAGTAGACTAGTAATTATAGCGTATAGTCAGTTAGTGGCTCCACAGAGAAGTAAAGGTAGGGAGGAAATTCGCTTATGGGACGACTCAGGACTTTGTTGTGTCGGAAATATACTTGTGACGACAAAGGAAGAGTCCGAGTGTCAAACACTGAGCGGAAATTCCTATCACATAGGGCACAGGGTCTTCCTCCACCTTGAGCGCTGTAGTACATGAGAAGGTGTTGGACATTTCCCTGACACCAGCTACTTGAGCTAGACACCACTGAAGTGTACCATTGAATGTTTCCGCTGTACCTTACTTCTCTGTGGCGTCTCTGGCTTCTATGCGGGAAATCTCTGCATGTAGCATCCACAATCATTTGGATTGGAACTTCTTAGAATTTCTTCCACTGATGATTTAAAAATACATTTTATAGCCAATATTCAGCAGTATTCCCTACTATTTAGTGTTGACCACGATTTTTAACATTCTTTTGGTCTCCAGGGCCAATTTATCATCGGCGTGTTGTATCTCTCCACGCTAATCCTGATGAGATGCGATCTTCCCAGACTCTTCACATACATCTGGGCCTCACAGATCCTAGTGTTCCTCGCTCTCTTCATCAACTTCTACATCAAGACCTATATCAGCAGGCCACGGACGACGGTGAAGAACAAGAAGCAATGAAGGTCGTTACCAAAAGGCTTTAACTTTGTAAAGGACTCGAGAAAGGAGTGTGACAAAATACTCTTGTAAAAATGTAAAGATGTGTTGTTTTTTCAGTTCGTCGATTGCACGTCAAAGGGGGGGGTGTAAGCAGCAAACCAAAGCACTCGTTAAATCTAATGGTACTTAAATTGGGGAGTAAAATATTTTTTGTTTATTTTAGTAAAAATTCAATAGGACAGATTGAAATTTGCTTAGTCTACAGGTTTGCTGCAGCGGGGGTATTTCAGATTGCTGCTAGAGCTAGTCATGGTACTAAATATTATCTTTGACTAACTTTTGTTGATTTGGTACAACTTCAGCGAAACAGCACACGGAAGATTTCTCAGGTGCCGTTTGACGTCACTAACTGCTGACGTCACTTTGAGGGAACACCAATACCGCAACGATACGGTGTGAGCCATCGGCCTCGATGGTGTAGTGGAAAGCGTGGCGGGCTGATAATCCGAATGTACCGGGTTCGAATCCCGCCGGCAGCACTAATTTTTTATCAACAATTTTTTCATATAAGCAAGTTTGGTTGGTTTGGTTAGGTTATGACAGTTTAATTTTATAATTAAAAAATTATAAAATTGAATTTTAGGCATTTATAATTTTATTTGATGAACAAAACTATTTTTTAGATTAGTAAACCTTTATTCGATGTTTCCATTGTCAGCACGTTTGGTTAGTTTGGTTAGGTTATGACAGTTTAATTTAATAATAGAAAAATTATAAAATTGTCTGTTTCTTCAGACGCAGCAGTTAGTGACGTCAGCAGTTAGTGGTGTCAAACGGCACCTGAGAAATCTTCCGTGTGCCCCACCGCAACTTCAGTATCTAATAGTCAAGGATATTATATTACGTACCTCCATAAAAAACATTCTCATATGGTTTTTGTTGTGTTTGTGGTACTGTGAAAGCTCCTTTTAAATGTGTTAAGCAAATTGTGATGTAAAACCCCTTATTCTGTCAAAATTGCTTGCCGTAATTTCCTGTTCATCGTTGTGTGCCACATCCCTAAGTGGTCTATAATGTATATTTATTGATAAAAATAAGCTGAAAAGTTGTTAACTTAGTTTTATACTGTGATTAGAATATTTATATCTTAGGGTTGTATATGCCTCTTAACTGTCTTTTTGTTTTATGTATTATATTATATGTATTACTTTAGTTATAATAAAACATTATTTATTGTAATTAATGTCTAATTCCCTTTTGTAATTTTTGTTCTTTAAAAGTCTAAAGCTTGAACTCTGGTTGTTTGAACTATAGAATTTCTGTTTGTTTTTTTCGAACGTCATTCTCTCTCATTTCGGCCTTAAAATAAACAGATGATGTGCCAAATTGCTGATACTGTTTGATTTATATATAAAAGAAGAAAGTGGATCATTTTTCATCAGTCCCAGTCACATGAACCCCTAAAAAAAATGAACACAGTTTTTGACTACCATATATAGTGACAATTGACAAAATGTGTCATGAGAACTTTTAAGTGACGAAATTGGCATAAAAACTCATTGATCCTAATATTGAGGACATATTGTCCCTTACAACTACCAATAATTGGTCTATAATCTGTGATTGTATTCACAAGATAAAGCAGTGCTAAAGTTGATGATGAGAACTGAAAATAGCGTTCAATGCCACTTTGATCAGTGAAGTGACTCTTTAGACATTTTTCTTTTAAATAAGTGTTGGAGAAGTTGACAAAATGTTTGGCATTAAGATATTGTTTGGTACAACAACTCCATTAATATACCTTGAACTTTTACATAATTTCTTCTATTAAAAGAAACTATTGCCATTGGTATGGTAAGACATAGACCCAAGGATGGATTTTTCATTAAAATTTTAATTTATATTGATGATTTGAGCAATTGAGGTACAATTTCATTGTGAATCAGAAAGATTTATAAGGAACAAATTGGGTTTTCTAATTGTCTATATGCTGATTACCCAATGATTACAGTATGGTGTACACAGTATCTTAAAAAAGAGTAATATCCCCTTATTTATGAACTGATTTTATTATTTCGTATCGTTAGAATTTATATTGTAAGAAAATTGTCCAAAATGAAATATTATGTTACCTAAGTTTACTTCATCTATGATATTATGCCACAGTAGCTTTGTTTACCTACATAATTTTTATTTTATTTCAGTTTAAATATGTTTGATGGACGCTTTTCAAAACAACAAAATGAAAAAAAAATTCCCAATATAAATCTTATCATAGGTCTATAGGTGCATTTAGAATATTCATGCACTTAATTTCAAATGACAACAAAAAGCCGTTATCAAATAAAACAGCAAAAAATAAGACTAGGACCGTGGCGTCGTCCTGTACGGTAATCCAACTACTTTACGAATTGTGGATATTTATAGGCATGCACTCATTGCACTGTGGATCGATGCGATACTCCCTGGTGTAGATTAACGTCAGCACTATAGTGAGTACTACGACTATCAGCAGTACTATCCTGATAATTAAGTTATAATACCACGAATACTAGAAAAATATTTTTCTAGTATTCGTGGTTAATACCAAGGCAAAAATGTAGTTCAGATTCCACTAACTCTAGGTCCCTTAGTTGCCATAGCTCTATGGGTTATTAATTAAAAGCTGTGTTTAAGAAATTAGTCACTAACAAGGCTACATTGCGCTACTCATCCTATCTACACTATCATCTCCATTCATACTAGGTTTAAAATCGCTTAACTTTTGTATGGTCACTATTTCAATGAAAAGTATTAAGTATAAGTTTTGTAAAATAAATTATGGCTTTAGGATAATTTTTGAGTTTAAAAAATCTTTAACAGGACATTTATTTAGTATCTCTTAGGGTCCTCCCCCAGAAAATTTTTTATATTTTTAAGTAGTTTAGTGACTTTCTAAAGCAATTTTTAACGCCTAAAACTGTCTCCAATTCTAAAAAAAACTCCCATTTAACCTGTTGTTTGTCATAAGCAGGTAGACATTTACAAATTTAAACTATGACAATTGCCTTCATAAATTTATAACTACGGCCGTCGGCCATATCCTCCTAAACACCATTTGGTACTTTCTTCAGCCCCTTGTAGCCCCCCTCCCCTTGGAACCACCACTGGGTCAGGTCATGACTGAACTGTTTCTAACAGATTTAAGAACTTTCATTGAAACCCCAATTCCCATTCTTATTTCTAAAATGTTGATATAGCTGCATATGTAAAATATTACAGGATGATAAATCTGTTTTGTTTGAGAAAAGTATTTTTGTTGAACCTGTATAGTTTTATTACCTCTTAAATAGATCAGATTTATTAATAGAATTATTATATAAAATATGAATGGTTACTGCAAAACATAATAAAACACCAAATATAATCCTCCGTTGGGTGGGTTTCTATTTTATAATTTAACTTGCACTTTTTAAACCCAGTGTTAATTTTTACTACTAAATTTTGGGATTTCGGGTGATGGGGGGGGGGGGGGGTTGACCGCCTAACCCCCCCTGGCTACGGCCTTGAGAGGGAGTGACTTTTTGTCCTTGTCAAGATGGTTTTAGAGCCTAATGCCAGGGACTGGATAGCAGTATTTTTTTCAGTCTGCAGAAAAGAAGTGTTAACAATTTCTCCTCTTCTTGTATTGTGATTGTGAAGTTGGTTTCTACAGCTGAGGTTGTCTATGTTTTCCTTAACATGTACTAGACAGTTGGAAATGAATTTAGGCTACTGTAAACAGTCATCACTCCCAAGTCACGGAACAGTGGTCTACAATGTTCATGCCTTGCGCTAGACGTTATGGCCCTAATAGCAGCCTCTTGAGTTTTCAGAATATTCTTTGTCTCCGAAGCGTGTCCCCAGACGATGACACCGTAGCTCACTGTGGCAGAGGCCATATAATAGGCTAATTTTAAAAATTAGCGAAGGGTTGCCGGGGTGACACCTTGTCGCTGGCGTGCGTTATTGTGGCGTGTAGACGACAGCGTACCACATGGGCACAGAAAACATACATAGTAGATCTGATAGTAGTATGTTTTCTGTGCACATGGAGCTGAACCACGGCCGCCTGCTGAACCCACCACTTCTGATAACATCCTGGGGCCTGTTTCATAATAAACTAAGCTGTAACTTGTAATTTGTAATTTCCATTAGATTTGCATTGGGCAATCAGCTGATTTTACTAATAATATTAGTTTGTAGATTATTATGAAATAGGCCCCTGGTGGCGGGTTGTCGTGGTCGTGTTGCAAGTTGTCGGAATGGCAGGTGGTGGGTTGTATTTTTTGGTTGTGGGTTGTCTTTTGTCACATCAGACCGAAACATCAATCGAAACATTCCTTTTGCAGGAGAAATGTTGTACATTTACATTGTTATAGAAACCAGTCATCAATTAAGTGTATCTAGAAGTATTAACTTAATAATACTAAAGATTATACAATTAACATTGATTATATTAACTGTATGTCGTATTGTAAATGGCATTGCCGGGGAATAAATAAATAAATAAACATGAAGGGGGCGGGTTGTCGTGGTGTCACGGTGACCGGGTGACCTAATTATTTTAAGAGCAAGCAACATCTGAGCAACCTTTAAATTGTTTTTCTAAGTCTGTGCAAAAAAAACAAATTATTCACTTGGGCATTAGCATTGACTTCAATTCACTAGTGAGACTTGAGACACCTTGAGATTATATAACTATAGTGTTATATAGTCGATGGCATTAGGGAGAAGTATAACCAGTGCCTTGGTGCTAGGAAAAAGTGTTCACGAAAGAAAAATCATAGACTAAATAAAGTTGGCTGTTGGCTAGTTAAATGCCAAAGTCATAACAAAGCAGTAGAACCTAAAAAAATTCATACCGCCATTCGAACTAACCAACCCTAACCCAACCTTACAAACAAAAACAATACAATAAAGATACCTCGATACCTGGAATTAGAAAGAAACTAGAAAAAAAAGAGAAGAGATACACAGGTAGTAGGTACAGAGAAACCAACAAACATCACAACTCACATCATCACATGCACAAGCTATTGCATTGTCTTGTCAAACAAAAAGGCTCGAAACCGGTCTGAAGTAAGCAAAAAGGTAAATTATACTTAAATAATTGTATGTTATTATTTTAGTTTTAACAAAACAACTTAACATAAATTTGATTTTTGTGGTGAGGTAGTGTCTAATAACAAGAATAATAGGCCTAACCTAAACGTTATAGGCTACCTACATATGGTTACATATTTTATAACAAGTTAAAAATTCTGTGTCTTTACCTAAATAATGCTGGGCATGGGTACAGTTTCTTAACTGGGCTATGCTAATATTGATTGAAACTAACGATTCGATAAGTGTAATAAACCTTTAGAGAATAAAACTTAGGTTTTATTAAGCAAAACTGAATACAAGAATTAAACAGAATAAATAAACAAATCTGACTAAAACATTAAGAATGTCAGCTGACATTTTGTACAGTACTTGGAATATCACCACATTCTTCCGCTCTAGTAAATTTTATACACATCGAATTTCTTAGGTAACACCTTTGGTCTGGTTGACCGACGTGGTGGATGAGGTTGATTGCAAGGAGCGCTGCTGGTTTGATGTTCATCATTTTCAGGAACACCATCTGACGTTGCTGGTGGTAAACATAAATCTGTATAGTTTTGAAGGAGCGGTTGTGACGAAGTAGTGTTCTGTTCCAGAAGGAGCGATTTTGACGAGGTAGTGTTCTGTTCCAACTGTTCATCACCGTCTTCGTTTTCATAAGTAAGATTTGTTGGATTTTGCATTACATTTCCTCTTGGTGCTAAATATCTTAAGGACACAATTGATTCTCTTCCTTCTTTATTGCGGACTAAAGAATATTTTGGGTTTGTCTCAATTACTTCAACCTCTTCGACCAGTGGGTCAAACTTACTGCCTCTTATGTGCTTCTTCATAAGAACTTTTCCTGGAATAGTCAGCCAAGTAGGGATAGTTTCTCCATTGCTAGATCTTCTTTGATGTTTAAACATTCTTTCGTGCGGTGTACAATTCGTAGCTGTGCATAAGAGGGATCTGATGCAATGAAGGGCTTCATCTAAAACACTTTCCCACTGAGTTATTTTCATCCCTCTCGATTTCAATGCTAGCTGAACAGTATTCCATATTACTCCGTTGAATCGTTCAACTTGCCCATTTCCACGTGGGTTATATGGACTTGCACGACTTGTTGCTATTCCCAAATTATGTAAAAATGATTTTAGTTCTACCGACATAAAACCGCTACCCTGGTCTGTGTGTATATATGATGGTGTACCAAAAATACTGAAGACTTTGTGAAGTTGTTTGATAATAGTTCTTGAGCTCATATCAGGACAGGGGAGTGCAAAAGGATAACGTGAATATTCGTCAACTATAGTTAGAATATAGGTGTTATTTGTTACTGAAGGGATTGGCCCTTTAAAATCCATATTAAGCCTCTCAAATGGGGCCATAGCTTTGATGAGATGTCCACTAGAAGTTTTCAGGAATTTTGGTTTGATCTCTGCACATAGTGGACAGCCTGCAGTCATTTTTCGCACATCTTCGACTGAGTAAGGAAGATTGTGGGTTCGGACCCAGTGCACCATTCGAGTAACGCCTGGATGACATAGTGACTTATGTAAGTCAATTAAACTTTGATTTGGCATCGAACTGCAGAGTCGAGTGAAGGCATCAGCGACTGTATTTTGAATACCAGGTCTGTAGACAGTGTCAAAACTAAAACAAGACAGTTCTAGCCTCCATCGTTGAAGTTTCTCATTCTTTATTTTGCTACTGTGTTTTTGATCAAAAATAAATGACACCGACCTTTGATCTGTCACAATCTTGAAATGCCGTCCAACTAAGAAATGTCTCCATTTCCTGACTGCCTCGACAATAGCTGCTGCTTCCTTTTCTATTATCGAGTGTCTCTTTTCACTGTCTGATAACGATCGTGAAAAAAAAGCAACTGGACGACCCATTTGACTAAGAGTCGCTGCAAGTGCATTCTGTGATGCATCAGTTTCTACTACGAATGGGATAGATTCATCAATAGTATTAATAGCAGACTGAGCTATCTCTTGTTTCAGTTTTTCATAGTCAGAAACAACTTCTGGAGGAATTGGGAATGTTTTGCATTTAACTAATCTGTGTACTTTTTCAGAAAATTGAGGGATCCATCTTGAATAGTGAGCTAGCATTCCAACTGCACGCCTTAATAAATCAAAATTACTAGGAACAGGTAAGTTCAGAAGGGGTTCAAGTCTTTCAGGATCCGGTTTAATAGTGTTATTTTCAATTAGGTATCCCAGAAGTCTGATTGATCTTTGGGAGTATGAACATTTGTCTTGATTCAGAGTTAGCCCGTACTTATTGGCTGCTGCCAAGAAATTTGCAAGATTTCTATCATGATCTTCTTGATCTTTACCACAAACCGTCAAATCATCTAGATAAGCAAAAACCCCTTCTAACTTCTCTTTACTGATTATACCATTAATTACACGCTGGAAACAAGCAACTCCATTGGTAACTCCAAAAGGTATTCTGTTGAAATGATATAGTTTTCCACCTGCTTCGAAGCCAGTGTATTTTTTCTCATTTTCACAAATAGGGATTTGATGGTAAGCGCTTCGGAGGTCAACTGTACTAAATACCTCATACTTAGAAATTTTTGAAACAAGATCTTCAATATTTGGTAAAGGATAAGCATCAAGGTTAGTGAAACGGTTAATAGTTTGAGAGTAATCAATGACTAACCGTCTTTTGTGATTCTCATTTTTGGTAACCAGGACTTGAGCCCTCCAAGGAGAATTGCTCTCTTCAATTATTCCTTCAGACAACAATTTACCTATTTCATTTTCTATAAATCTTGTTTCATCAAGGGAGAACCTTCGAGATTTTATTTTTATTGGGTGACAATCTGGTGAAAGATTAGCAAATAGTTCAGGAGGTTCAACAATAGCTGTAGGCAAACTGCAAGGGCCCAAAGTTAGTGCTGGCTTAGAACCGCCAAATGATATGCATAGATTTGTATACTTAGAGAGAATATCATGCCCAATTATCATGTCTGCACAGAGATTAGGCAAAACTGAAACCTTAGTTTTTATATGTTGATGCCCTAAAAGCTCAATATCAACAAAGCAGTGCCCACAGATACGGGATTGTAAGTCTACAGATGCCATAGAAATCTGGCCTCCTCCAGGAACAACTAAAAACTTTGTTTTGTCAACGAATGTTTTATTTATGAATGTTTCAGAGCTACCAGTATCTATTAGAGCATCAGCGACAACATTGTTAATCTTAACTGTAACTACAGACTTTGATAAACATCGAGGAGCGGCAGCCAGCAGTCCCGACTCATGACTTTTCTCCATGGCTGAAAGATTAGAAGATTTACCTGATTTTTTACGACGACAAACAATTGAGAAATGACCTTTTATCCCACAGTTTCGACAATCAGCATCCCTGGCTGGACAGACATTTCGAGGATGTTTGGCTTTCCCACAGAAGAAGCATTTTATTGTCCCTGAGGCAGCCAGTGATGATTCCTTATAACATTCTTCTTGATTCATCTCTTGATTTAAAGTACTGTTCAAGAATTGATTTTGATGAGTTTGTTGGTAGATTTCTGAGTGTTTCTGAGCTGATTCTAGAGCTCTTGCTTGAGCAACGGCATCCTCTAATTTCAGAGTATTGTTCTCTAGTAGTCTTTGACGTATTTGAGGAGATAATAGCCCAGTGATGAATGAGTCTCTAATGTAATCGTTTTTACTTTCTTCTGCATTAACATTACGAAAATTACAATCTTTACTCAAAAGTTTCAGTTTTTGTAAGAATTGATCTACAGACTCCCCAGGTTGTTGCTTGGAAATAGCTAATATATGCCTTGAAAAAACTTCATTTTGAGGTTTCACATAGAGGGTCTGTAAAACCTTCACAGCATCTTCATAGGTCTTTGCTTCTGAAATAAATTCATATACGTTGTGACTAATGTAATTTATGAGTAGTTTTAACTTTTCTTCGTCACTTACTTTATCAACAGAGGATACAAAATTTTCAAAAGTCCTCAACCAATGTTTAAATTCAAATGCTGCTTTGGTTGTATCAGGTAGACATTCAAATCTTTCTGGTCTTAACAGTTTATCCATTTCTTTCTCTAGTATTAAGTGATTGAATAGAATGGTTTATAGGAAGCCTATAGATACTGATTCTCAGACTAATTATGATAATATTTGCTTAATAAATTGTAATAAACCTTTAGAGAATAAAACTTAGGTTTTATTAAGCAAAACTGAATACAAGAATTAAACAGAATAAATAAACAAATCTGACTAAAACATTAAGAATGTCAGCTGACATTTTGTACAGTACTTGGAATATCACCACAATAAGTAAACCTTAATGCGATTTTTTCACCATCAGCAAGTTTGGTTGGTTAGGTTAGGTTATGATAGTTTAATTTTACAATAGATATATTTAAAAATAACTTATTGATTATTAATCAATATTTTCAATTCGATAGTTTCAATCGATATTAGCATAGCCCAGTTAACACGTTCGCTGCGGCATGGGAGCGATCGCTCCCATACGGAACCTTAATGCCATCCTGATGGGTGCGATCGCTCCCAAGCTGCAATGCGGTACGAAATGATTTTATTTTTAAGCCAGGATTAGAGCTAGAAACTTGAAACCTCACACAGCACTGCTCAATAGTATACTGTATTTTGTTGTGGTGTAGGTTGGTAGTAAATTTCCCCGTAAAATCCCCGTTTGGCAATTTTAAAATCTACTTTTTGTACCGTCTTTTTCCCTCCATTTGGCAATACAACTCCAATGGGACCGGCTACGTTCCACGCAGAGCTGCTATCTGTGGATGTTTAGCGAACTACGTCGACTCTTGTTGTAAAGCAGGATATCCTCGCACGTTATTTGCTATTCGTCAGATCGAAATTGGAAAGCCAATCACACGCGGCAATCGGGTTTGTTCGGCGCTGAGGGCTGCGCCGCACTGGGGATACGCCCGCCATTTGACGTGCCGCCGCGAACGTGTTAAGAAACTGTACCTCTGAGCATTTTGTAGTTGTAAAAATAAGTTAGGCCAGGCCTCGATACAAATTTATGTAGAAAAGTTTCTAAGGTAAACCCTTCTAGCCCCACATAACTTATTTTTCATTGTTCAAGTCAACTTCCACATAAAGCCTCTGTTTCTTTTTAAGCAGGCCTCTACCACCAACCTTTCCAGATAACTTAGCCTATTTGTGAACTTCTCATGAGTTGTCTTTTCTAAAGCGAAGCCACGGCAAAAGAATTGTGGCAACACCGCAATCCCGGCCATACAGAGGGACAGCTATAGCACTAATTTATATGGAGCATTTGCACAGTACTAATGTTAAACACTGTTATTATCATGGCGAGTGCAAAGTTGCCACATTGTTGGGGTTGCACACTGTGACCGAGACAGTATTCAAACTCTTGATATATCTCCTGGCTGGGCAGAAAACATCTTAACCTTATTTATCAGATCCAATTGCGTAAAGCATTAAGTTAGTGTCATTGGTCAACTCAAAGTTGGTCATGTACCGGTAACGGTGGTTCTAAATTTCAAGGGTATCAAGTTGCAGCACATGCAATAGGCCTAGTTTTTGGAACTGATGTTTCATCCGATAATATATCGTACTCTGTGGAACGTACTCTAGTTTTAAGCCGAGTTGGTACAGTTGCAACTCTGCTTGGTGTTTTTGCAACATGTCCACTTTTTGACATGTCCATATGCATGTACTGTAAGTGTCTAATGGAATAAAACATTGATTCCTGATTCTTGTACAGGCATATAGATGCGACAAAAGTTTCTCAACTGTATATTTCAGCCTTGGAGCTCAAGGGTTCAGCCATGTATTTTCTTCCGATTGAAATAGTTTCTTCTCCATCCTACACCAAATAGTTTTCCTTAGGATAGGCGCACACAAGCGATTGTTTTGTGGCGATTATTTTACTGGCCAGTCTGTGCATTATGTATAAAGTGGAAGCGTGCACACAGGAGATCAAAAATTGTGCTGCAGATTTGTAGGCGAGACGATTGTCGGCCGGAAATCTGTACCGTAACGTACAGGTTGTTACCTGTCCTCGCACACTGTCAAATAAAAAATTGGCCAGTCACTTGTTGTTCTTTACAGGAGTCAGTGAACTTCAGTGTGAGTTATCTGTCGTCATGTGTGTCTGTGTATCGTATTCTTTGCTATTTTTTCTTGTTTTAGCGAATTTCCCTATAGGGAAGTAGCTATTACCGTAGGTGGCACGGTAAGACCTAGACCCGGGACCGATTTACTTTTTCATTTTGATGTCCCCAGAGGCCAAAAACACCATTCGTTCAAATTTTTATATATGTATATTATATATATATATATATATATATAGACTTATATATATATATACGTCCGTGAACGCGATAACTTGAGTAATTTTTGTCCGATTTTGATGAAATTTGGTTTAAAGGTGTAAAGCGGGATAAACTTGAATGGGTTCGCGAACCAGCACGATCGGACCATGGGAACGGGGCTTTACGGGGGGTTTTATGGGGTAAAAATTGGTTTTTCTCACTTTTGACCCTCAAATCACAAAATTTCCCGATTTCTCTTTAGACCTTTTTAAAGAGCTTAAAAAAACAAATAATTTAGTATATAAAAGTATTTTTGTTCAATTATTTTTACTAATTATTCAATTAGTTACTACTGAGAAAATTAAAAAAAAATTGTACATTTAAAATTCCCATGTTATTCTTATGGAGAATATTGTCAAATGTTGTAGTTTGCTTGTTTATGGATATATTTTGATCAAACTTGGCAAATTTATTTATTTTGTACTAAGCTATCAATATTTTACTCAAAAACACACTTTATTAGTTTCCTTGTAGCAGCAAACCTAGGTACTCGTTAAACCTAATGTTATTAAAATATATTTAACTGAAAATCAATTCAGACAAATGGAAATTCGCTTAGTCGGCAGGTTTGCTGCGGCGGGGGTATTTTACAGTACCATGGCAGTGACAGATTTTGATACAGAACTGTTTATAACTGAAATAGAAAAAAGGCCCCAGCTGAATAATAAAAATTTGAAAGAATATAGTGACAGAAATTTGAAGGAAACGTTGTGCAATGATAAACTTTGTGTCATGTCACAGTTTATAAAACTGTCCATTTAAAAGTCTCTGACTTACTATTGGATGAACCCCAATATTTACATTGTCTTCTTTTTTTCTTTGATCTAATTAGAAGATCACAAACACAGGTTAATTCAACAAAGTTTATTTTAGGACAGCTTAACACACTCAAAAATCGGTATAACACTAATGTGGTATAATGTCAAAAGCTCGTTCATTTTCAAGATGAGCTCCTTCGCATGGCTCAATCTTGTCCTGGTTGAAGTTAGTTCGCTACGCTCACTCACCTTTAGGAGGGAGCTCGTTCGCTGCGCTCACTTGCCTTCAGCTTAGCTCGTCGCTACGCTAACTCGCCTCCAGGTTGAATGTTGTTCCCTACGCTCACTCACCTTTTGGTTGGAAATTAGCTGTTGTCATAAATAAAAAAAATATAGTGCTGCACCCTGTTGGTAAACCTATTAACTTTTTAAAGTATTGAGCATCACAGAATCAAATTGATTAGTTGAACCAGCTGTTAAGATTCTTTAATTCCATTTAAATATGAGTATTCTTAAGGTTAACATGGGAAACTCCAGAGCCACTGGGGCGGAGCCCTTTAGATGGATCTGCACCAAACTTCACACAAACCATCCTTGAATAATGCTCAATAAAGCCTGAAAGTTTCATTACAATATGTCGAGCGGTTTCGGAGTCCATAAAGGACAAACAAACAAACATACATACAAACAAACATACATTGGATTTTATATATAGAGATATGTTGGCTTGTAATTCATTATGTTGTTTGTGCAACTATTACATCCATATTTTAAGCAAAACTCATGTTTCTGGCCCCTGGACTATATTGTTACGACAATAATAGGTTTTTTACATACCTCCATCAAATAGTCCAACGATTAATATTGCTAAAACATGTTTACATAGTACCATTGACTATATATTTTTTTCAATGATGTTACACAACACACATGCAACAGCTTACATGTTTTGAGCAAAGATAACATTTTCAAAGCTTGCAACTCATCAAAAACGCATTTAAAACACGGACGACACGAACACAAAAAACATTAAAATGGTACGAATACACAATAAACATTTAGATAGCGCTATCATGATACTGATTTAGTCCGACGTGGCGCGGGGTTGGTAGCAGACTCTTCGAGGTGATTATTGAAGTAGACAATAACTGAGGAAAGTTTTTTTTTTTTTGTTTTAGACGCTAATAATGGCAGAACCAGGACCAGACGGATTATACAGTGTGTGTGTTCAAAATGCTGAAGACTGTTCGGATGATGAGGTAAGCTTAGGAATAATGGAAAAAAATATATTTCTTGATAGGCTAGATTAAATTAATTAAAGTCTAGATTTAAACTAACCAATGTTGCAATAAAATACCTATATATATTTTTTAAATATTAGTAGACACCTAAAATAATAGACAGACCCTAATTTGGTTAAGATTAACTTTTTGGTTTTATCAAAGTAAACTAAAATAATAAACAGACCCTAATTTGGTTAAGATTAACTTTTTGGTTTTATCAAAGCAAACTAAAAATCTCGTATGCATAATTTTTGTGATAAATATGTGGGCAATTTTTTATTTACAGCTCTGCACATCCAATATTTCTTAGAATCACATTAGATTTGTTACATCCCCTTATAACTTGGCTTTTAAATGTGTTTACTGGTTTGATTTTAATATGTAAATAATTCTTCATCCCAAACTCTAAGAGCTAGTGGAAGGAAACGAAACTAATGCACATTGTAGCGGTACCAAGCTCAAACTCCATAGAAACTCTGTGGCCCTAACATAGACTAAGTTGAAAAAAATTCAATCCAAATAATAGGCACAACAGACATGACTGTGGACAACAATCAAATCAAATCAATAAAGATTGGTGTCATATATTGTTCCATTGCTATATTGTTGGGGTGTGTTGCTTTGTTCTACAGCAGACTACAATGTGTAGTAAGGTGTCAATTTTGAAAATAAATTTGAATTGATATAATATTTAACTATAATGAAACAAATTATTTTCAGCTCCATGAAATATTCGAGGAGTTTGGTTGTGTTGCGAGACTCCATAGAGTAAACGCCTTAGTCTTTGTGCGCTACTCTACTGCTGATGAAGCTAATAACTGTGTAGAGTCAATGAGAAACCAGCAACGGTTCAGAGTAAACTATGGGAAAAAGAAGAGGAACGATGGAAATTATGGAAGGTAGGATTAGCCATTGAAAATTTTCCTCAAATGAGCATAAACATTTCCATACATGCCATTTTAATATGCCATACAGTAGACTCCCTCTTATCTGGACACTTTTTAACCGTACTACGCTCGGAGGAAGTGACATCTCTTTAACCGGCAATTTTTATCAGCACATCAGTTTATCCGCAATAGATCGGCAGGAAGTGGGTGGTACTGAAACGACTGTTCTCGTGGGTAAGATTCGAGACCAGTGATGACATGTTTAAATACAATATCTTACATAATTTAACCATTATTGGCTTACACAGTATGCATTTAAATGGTCCGTTTTAACGAGTTTTTGGGGAAGTCGATTTAACCGGAAAAACCGTTATCCGGACTGACCTCGGTCCCGAGGAGTCCGGATTTAAGAGACAGTCTACTGTACATTATATGGCTATGTGTTTTCTGTAATTTGACGCTAGGATTAAAAAATACCTATTTAACCTGCAGACTAAGCGAATTTCCATTTGCCTGATTGGATTTACACTAAAATGTCTCCTTAAAAATATCAGATTTATTCCCTACCTATTTAAATATAGCCTAATTAGTTTAACAAGTCTAAACCTCGGGTCCAGGTCTTACCATGAGACCTACGGTAATAGCTTATTCCCTATATGGGAAATTCGCAAATATTCCCTATGTGCAAAATTAGCTAATATTCCCTATACAGTTGAACCTCGTTTGTACGAACCTCGATAAAACGAATTCCTCGATAAGACGAATTGTTTTTAATCCCCTTGACACTTTCATATAGGTCAATGCTAAAAACACCTCTATAGAACGTAGTAATTAAGTTAAAAACCTCCATAAGACGAATTTGTTTGTGACATGGGCTAGGACTGATTAACCTCTATACAACGAATATTCTTAGCACAAAACCTCTACAAGACGAACGTGGCCTCTATAAGACGAATTTATCATAATCTTAACCTCCATAGTACGTAGTTTTCAAAACAAACAGAAGCTTGTCTCAACATGAAATCCCCACCCATCCCTCCTCCTTCCTCAGTCATTTTTTTGGAAAAACGTTAGAGCGAGGAGAAACCTCTATAAGAAGAATAACAGCAGCATTAAACCTCGATAAAAAGACCCTCTTTATTAAGAATACCTCTATAGTACGAATTTTTCCCGTACCCCTTGAAATTCGTCTTATAGAGGTTCAACTGTATGGAAAATTCACTAATATTCAGTGCCGGATTTAGGGTACTTGCGGCCCTAGGCCAAATTACTTGCGCGGCCCCCCCTGTGGTGGAAGTTCCTTGCGATCCCGGTAGTAATAGTGAATATCTCCTGTGAATCAAGGGGACATCATCATCAATACCGGTGATCATGGATGAAATCGTGGACATCTCTCCTAAACCAAGTCAAAGCCATCATAGGTATCCGTGACTACGGCAAAATCGTAAACATCCTCCGCGGGCTGCAAAAAAGGGACATCATCCTTGACACTCGTGACTGCGGCGAAATTATGATCATATCCTGTGAGCTATGACCTTGAGGACATCATCACCATCACCCGCGACCGCAGTAAAATCGTGAACATCTCCCGTGGGCCACAATCACGGGGACATCATCATCAACACTTGCGATCGTGGCAACGTCGTGTTAAAAACTTCTACCGTGGACTGCGATCATGAGGACATCATCATTGTCTCCAACAGCCGTGCCGAAATCGGAAACGTCCCCTCGGGAAGCCATCATGGGAAATCCTCATGGCACCTTTAGCCGTGGCAAAATTGTTAACATCTCCCGTGAGCCGCAATAACGGGGATATCATCATCAAGACTCGCGACCGTGGCAGAATCGTAAATATCTCCCGCGATGCAGCAATCACGAGGACATCATCATTGACACTTGTGATGGCGGAAAAGTCGTGTTAAAAACATCTCCCGTGGATAGCGATCATGAGGACTTCATCATTGTCACCCACGGCCGCAGTGAAATCGTTAACATCTCCCATGAGTCGCAATCACAGGGATATCATCATCAACACTCGTGGCCCCGGTGAATCATGAACATCTACCGCGGGCCGCAATCACAGGGACATCATCACCAGCACCCGCGGCCGCAACAATATCGTGAGCATCTCCCTTGGTCTGTGGAGACATCATTATGGTCATATGTGATCGCGGCAAACTAGTGGTTTAAAATAAATTTGTTTTTCAAAAAAATGTTTTTCTCAATCCTCTGCCCCCTCCTGCTTAGTGGTAAATCCATCACTGATAGTATTCCCTATATGGGAAATTCGCTAAACGTGTGAATTTAGCAAAACATAATGTACAAAACACAATGTGAAATTTGTGTGCAAAGTGTTGTTTTTTTTTACTCAATAAATCGAAACACTATGCAAACCTTGGGCATCCTACATTTTTCTCTCTTTCAAAAATTGCCACTTTTCTCACTAGTTGCAACAGCAATTTTCCCATAAGTTTGATGAGTTAATTCCACATTGTAGTGCTTCCAGGCTTTCCGAAGCTCTCCGGGCAGTAAAGTTTTGTTGAATGGTGTCAGGTTACTCGTAAGGTTGCAAATTATTCTCATGGCTATGATAGCCATCATGCATTCTAGGCAGTTCCCTTTGTGAATTCTCTCGTAAAATCTAGATTAATCGGAGTTCCACATCGTGTGGATTGTGCCTTGGGCATTAACAGACAAAAAATGAATGGTGCCACCGGTTTACAATTACGTGCTAACTCCAGTTAGTTATAAGGATGACATCTCATTGTCCTCTAGTCATAAATCATAAACCTCTTTGGAGGTGTGTTTGTAATCAGCTGTTATGCTTATTTCTTTTCTTTTCTTGTTTACGATTTTCATTGTTATTTTGTTGCCAAAGTAGTATTTCACAAGGCTCACTGTTAAAAATCAATGACTTTCAATTTAAACTTTTTTACGTAATTAGATTTTTTTTGGCAGTTTTAACTGCATGAAACATGTTTTAAGGCTAGAAATAATTGATTTTTTTACATCATTTGAAGGAAATGGTTGAAACAGTTTTCGACATCTTCGTGCAAGGAAGCTTACATACGGGCAAACATTGCTCATATTAAGAGTATAGAATTAGATTTTACGTTTATAATTTGTTAATTTCCTGATGAAGAACTCCATTCCTGTTTGTCTCGGTTCCACTCAGACAAAATGTCGTGAGAGACAAAGTGAAGGAAAATAAGTGTAATATGTAGTAATCTCCTTCACCACTAGCCTGCACTGCCAATGGAAATGTTTAATCACCTGTTACACAGAAGTGATTATTGCAGCTGTTTCTTGCAAGAACATTGGTTAAATAGGTTGTGTTTGGCTAAACTATTATCAACTCTTCTGGAATTAGTTTTTGAAGAGTTGGGAGGTAAAGGAGGACTTCCCAATTTCCAATATATGAATACTGGTTTGTCTAAAGTCAACAGCAGTGTGTGTGTTTTTTTGTGAATACAGGATCAGTATTTACTGTATTGTTTCTAACAGTTCCTTCCATAGCAATCCACAGAATGGGTTTCTTCACTAGGCAAATGTTATTTTTGTTTTGCTTGAGCATGTTTAGAGTTTAAGAAAATGATATGAACATTAAGTTGTTGGACAAAATATGTATTCTTGAGCATTTGCTTTAAATTTTGTACAAAAAGTATCTCTATCTAGGTGATTGATACATAAACATGGATAAAACATACTCCCTTAGTAGATTTGTCATCCTTATGGGTCAGCTGAAGACAATTTTATTGTTAGTTCTGTCCGATGCCCCCTTGATCGTGTATTTGTTTCATTCGGTTACGGTATTTCACTTATTTTGAACCTCGTTTGGCTAAATAATCTTAACAATAACAATACATTTTCCTGTAAAACACTTTTTGTTAACAATAAAATTCTTACTTTTCCGTCCATCTGTATCTTAAACAAAACTGTCTTGTTTTTGTTAAGAAAAATATTGACCTTTTTACAAAATCTGTCTCACCCTATCTCCTATGGTTTGAGAAGCCGGTCTGATTTAGACATAGCAAAACACAAAACCGCTTTTTTTGAAAATCATTTATTTTACAATGGCATTAAACTCTTCAATGCACTGTCCACTCCCCTGAAGATGGAAAATAGTGTGGACAAATTTGGCAAAGGGGTGAAGAGTCTTCTTTTGTTTGTCACGCTGTTGTTACAGTGTTGATTGTTGAAGACTTTTTAAGAGAACAATGACCTTAAGTTTTTAAATTGTATCTATAAGAAAATATCGTTTTGATTTGTTTAAGATGATTTTTGTCAACGCTAATTATGCAGTTTGTAACAACAGTAAAAAATAAAGATATTTCAGTTTGAGTTTACAATTTTAAATGAATAACGTTAAAATATTAAATAAATTCCCTAAAACATCAATAAAACATACTATGAAAACACAAAATCCTATTTAAGTCATTTTCTTCTTTACATTTGATACAAATAGCATTACAATATTTTACTTAAATTCATCGAAACATCACCAACTACTTACAGATAACCCCATTTTCGTACGGTTGTGAACAAAATTGTATTATGAGGGTGTCCACCAGGCCAACCAGAAAAAAATTATGAGTAAAAAAAATCCAGGTTGTTCAGTTTGTACTTTTTATACTAAAATTTCCAACGTGTTTTGCGCCAACTCCCGCAATGCTGTTTTAGCGCTAACACAGCTCGCTATTTCGGTTATCGGAAAGAGCATTCTCAGTTAAAGAAACAAAATTTATGATTACTGTAATATTGCCTGACACAATTATTAAATTTTTATATATTACTGATTAAATAATCCAAAAATTAAAAACTAATCCTTAAACCTGCAATTTATCAATAACATCTTAAAAATAGTGATATGTCGATAACAAAATTTGTCGAATCTCTGTACAGACACCTGAAAAATAGATTCTTAATAGAGATAATTTCAATTTTACCAAATTTTCTGTAAGGATTACTACACCAACCCCTGTCTTTGTGTACTTTCATATAGTACGTAATTT